CCTTCCCCTTTCTCGTCTTCACCTGTTATGTACAGCTGCCAAGTCTGTGTGGTGCACAACTCCAGGGGGTGCCATTTACATAGACGGGGCCGCACTCCCTGGGAAACTCGAGTTCCTTCTTTCTATAGGCCATCACCACCAGGTAGGCCTGGTGAAGAGTGGGGACTACAGTCAGAGACACTGACAATGGTCTGTTCTTATCAAGGAAGCCAACTACCACACAGTTCCAAGCAGGTCAGCAGATGGGCTATGTCAGCCAGGGGAGAGGCTCTGGATTCCTGTGACTCCATGCTATATAAACAGAACCTCTTGAAAGCCCTGGCCTAATAAATTGTGTGATTACTAACTCAGTACTGCTCTGATGACCGCTGTGTGCTGGTCCGGGGCCCCTCTCTGGGAGCGGTCTGCACGGTGGAGCTCCTGGTTAGAAACAACCAGAGCTGGTTGGCCGGCTGGCTGTGGCCAAGGGAGAGACCAATCAGACCCAAGACTACTCTAGGGAGAAAATAGTCTCTCGCCAAGGGGAAAAGGCTCCATGTTTGCTCCTCTCGCCCGGCGGCATTAGGAATGCTTCTTGTTCATTAGCTGACCATCCAAAATGAGTTCATGGTTCTCTAAAGGATGCAGAAGTCAAAGGGGCGAGGGCAACTCTCTTCGCACAGTCTTTACAGAGGGACAGGGCCCTGTACGGCCATGCCCTCCATGGAGCCATCTGTGCCACATGTCTCCCTTATCCCAGCCTGGACCAGTTGCTGAGGCCCTTTCTCAGGAGTTTTCCAGCTGGGTCCCCAAATCCCTTGACCAAGGTGGGAAGACGCTGGTAGCTCAGTGCCAGCAGGCCCCCACCTGTGGGGGTGTGCCCAATAAGATGGGCAGCCACAGGCCAGCTGGGGTGAGCCAGCCTCCATCCCACTCCTGATGGATCTAGCTCATTCTTAGTCCCTGCCTCACTTTCCTGTCTGCTCCCTATTCCCCCCCTCCCACCCACCGCGGGATAGGACCCATCCTTTGGAGATGCGTCATATTGATGTTGGCCTGCTACCTATCTGGCGCTCTTGTTCTTTTCTTTACATACTAAAAATATTTAAATATGACGAACATCCAGAAAAGTTCGCATAACCTACATGTATGGTGTTAAATGCTTGGAAGAGAAACCCTATGTAACCATCACCCATGACAGAAGCAGAATATCATCAGCACCCTCAAAGAGCCCTGTCCCCGTCTGGTACATTCATTCCTGCCTGGAACTAGATTTCTCCTGAGTCCCCACTTGGCTATCATGCTAGAGTCTTAACCACGTTCAGTGACACCTCTCCCTGAATAATAACAGGGTAGGCATGTGCATTGGAAGACAGGTGGTGTAATCCCCCAAATAAAAAGCCATCAGCTTTATGCCAGTGTTTCAAAGGCTTCGCTGGCCATGAACTTGATGCTAACACTTGGCGTACTAAAAGTTTATGAAGCCTAGGCAGCAAAAGTCATCTGAGATGCAAACCCAGTTCCCAAGAGACTTCAAGGTACAACGGAACTTTGAATGTCAGAGGATGATCATGAGCTTATTCCGGTCATAAGCCCCTCTCACCTGGAAAAGATAACCAGTATCCTGATTCTTATGGTCATTATTTCCTAGCTCTTCATAATTCCACCAGCAACATAGGTACCTTTATTTTTTAAATTTTTTTTAACGTTTTATTTATTTTTGAGACAGAGACAGAGCATGAATGGGGGAGGGGCAGAGAGAGAGGGAGACACAGAATCGGAAGCAGGCTCCAGACTCTGAGCCATCAGCCCAGAGCCCAATGCGGGGCTCGAACTCACGGACCGCGAGATCGTGACCTGAGCCGAAGTCGGATGCTTAACCGACTGAGCCACCCAGGCGCCCCATAGGTACCTTTAAATAGCAGATTTTAGTTTTGCCTGTTTCTATGTTTGATATAAATGGAATCTACTACATGTATTCTTTTGTGATTTCCTTATTCAAAATTCTGTTTGTAGGGTTCATCCATGTTGTGTGAGCTGTTCATTTTTTTTTTTTTAATGTTTATTTATTTTTGAGAGAGAGAGAAAGCAGAGTGTGAGCAGGGGCGGGGGGGGGTGCAGAGAGAGGGAGACACAGAAACAGAAGCAGGCTCCAGGCTCTGAGCTGTCAGCACAGAGCCTGATGCGGGGCTCGAACTCACAAACTGTGAGATCATGACCTGAGCCGAAGTCGGACGCTTAACCAACTGAGCCACTCAGGTGCCCCTGAGCTGTTCTTTTTGTAAATGATTTTGAGGTGTAATTTGTTTTATTGAGCTAGAACTATAATTATCCAGCTCTAATTTTATAGTTTTTCAAGAATAAGTGCTTCTCAATTTGTTGTCTACTTACAGTCAATTTTCAGTGCCTTGAAGTGGTCATTTTTGATCCTTTTGTCTGGTTTTATACTTGCCTTTTTGCAGAGAATAATCACTGACCTCTTCATGCTACAGTAACTAGAAGTCTTTCCCCCGATTTCTCTGTTCGTTTATTGTCATTGTTGTGTATTAGTCCGTGGTGTGGCTGTTCTCCAATTTATCTAGTCTGTTGGGGTGTGCTGTCCAGTCTAGGCTATCATGGATAGTCTTGGACTAGTTTAGTTCCTGGTGTATGGACATGCATATGTATGAGAGAGTTATTGCATCACAGATGTATTAGTTTCCTATTGCTGCTGTGACAAATTATCATGTAGTTGGTGGCTTAAAACAACCCAAATTTTTTATCTTGTAGTTCTAAAGGTAAAAGTCCAAAATGGGCTTCGCTGGGATGAATTAAGGTATCAGTAGGCTTGCGATCTCTTTTGGAGACTCCGGGGAGCACTAGTTTTCTTGCTTTTTCTAGCTCTGGGGATTAGCTTCTGTAAGCCTGCGTTCTTTGGCTTGTAGTTCCTTCCATCAGCAAAGCCAGCAATGGCTGTTTGAGTCTTTCTTATGCTGCCTCACTCTGACACTGAGCCTTTCTGCTTCCCTTGTGATTATACTGGAACTATCCAGATGCTTTGAGATAACCTCCCTGTCTCAAGATCCTCAACTTAATCACATCTGCAAAATCCCTTTTGCCATGTAAGGTAACCTATCATCAGGTCCGGGGGATTAGGATGTGAACATTTTGGGAGCCATCATTCCGCCCACCATATAAAGCATTACAAATCTCCAACTACATAACATAAAGACAGTAAACTATACAACATATAACGTATATAACATAAAGACAAACTGCTTTAGAAGAATGGTTGTACTTATAGTCACACCAATAGTTTCCGTTGCTCCACATCCTTGCTAACCCTTAATACCATCAGTTTAAAATTTTTGCCACTGTCTTGTGTGCACACTATCTCCTAAAGGAATGAGTAAGAGAAATTGAACCATTTTCCGTATTTCTAGCCACTAAACAAGTCCTTTCCAAATGAACTGATCACTTGGACCTCAGCTTCTGTCACCTGCCTGGCTTTTTAGTGTTGCCTGAAGTCCGGCCCCAACTTTCGGACTCTTTAAATTTTAGATATTCCATCAGCCTGCTGGCTGACCTATAGGCTTCATTCCTGCCTGGAACTAGATTTCTCCTGAGTCCCCACTTGGCTATCATGCTAGAGTCTTAACCACGTTCAGTGACACCTCTCCCTGAATAATAACAGGGTAGGCATGTGCATTGGAAGACAGGTGGTGTAATCCCCCAAATAAAAAGCCATCAGCTTTATGCCAGTGTTTCAAAGGCTTCGCTGGCCGTGAACTTGATGCTAACACTTGGCGTACTAAAAGTTTATGAAGCCTGGGCAGCAAAAGTCATCTGAGATGCAAACCCAGTTCCCAAGAGACTTCAAGGTACAACGGAACTTTGAATGTCAAACAGTATGGCAGAGAATGAGTTTTCCTGACCTTAAAAACATTTGCCACGAAAAACGCCTCCACCACAGCCAGTCTGATTTTGGAAGAACCCTCAAAGAATTACCCACACTGGCACCTTTTGTAAAGTCTGCAGCATTTACCACTGAATCTACTTTCCAGGTAGAAGCACAGAAACCGGAGGGAATGCTGGGGTATATACCTCTCACAAAGTACAATTTCACAAAATGCCATTTCAGTTCTCCTTTACGCACTGGAAATTTTCAGTGTGGGCATGATGCCCAGTGTAACAACAAATAAAGCAGATGTGTTTTTCCATGGCCATGGGTCAGGAAGTTCCATATTAAGCAGTTCAGTCGGTAATTGTATGAGAAATGTCCTCTAAATGCTGAAATAGCCTTGTAGGTTAATTGATATTGGGAAGGCTGTCTGTTCCGAGAGAAATAAATGCCTGAAAATGGACGTATCAGGAGGAATACTTCCCATCCGTGACCAGGAAGTTTCATATCAAGTGGCTCGAGAACATGGAAAGAGAAACCCTGGCCAGATCTTTCCTCTCCTGCTTTCCCTCCTACTCTGAAGCGGGTGCCCATCATCTGGCCCTAGGGCTCAGAGTCCGTTCCTAATGGCATGAGGATGGCCAGAGTGACCTTGCCAGGAGAGGGCCCCTAGAAGGAGACCAACCTTGCTAGAAGCCCTCCGGCAGTGACCAGGCGCTCAGAACAGGTGGCAATAAATGAGAATAAGGGATTGGCTTTTGTTGGCCGGAGCTGAGTTAATGAGGTCTGTGATAAGGCATGACACCCGGACACAACCCGCATCTTCATAATCTACCTATCTCCTCTGGTTTTCCTGCTTTCTCCTCCAGCTTCAAGAAAGGCATTTGCACAAGATACTGCCCTTAACCCTTTTCTTTCCTCGGCATGCTTTCCTGTTGTTCAGCTTCCACTAAGTGGGAGACTTCCAGTTACATAACCACAGCCCTGATCTTTTCCCCGAACTCTGGTTCTGCTCGGTCAATCCTCAGGATTGAGATCCTTATGGCCCCTGCCAAGCCTGCTTTTCCTCCTGGGGTCCCCAGTGCCCCACGTCTAAGTGTCTGTTCTTCACACTGCCTTCCAAATGATCTCTCTGGAACAGATCTTCAATCACATCACTTGCCTGCCTAAGAAACTTCCATGTCTCCCACTACGTACAGAATAAAGTCCAAACTCCCTGCCTTATTAGCATCAGGGTCCTCCAGGACCTAGCACCAGTTCACTTCATCCTCACCAACCATTTTCCAATTCATACCCTTCATATTCCAGATGAACAGGCGACCGCTTCACGTTGATGGTCAGGTGCCAGGTGCTGTGCGTCAGACGTCATCCCATTTAATCTTGTCATGAGCGTGTCTCTAGGAGCTCCATTTTTATAGACATGGCAAGTAGGCTCAGAGATGATTGATCGGTAAGTTGCCCAAGGCCACACGGCTAGCTGGTGGGGTGGGGACTGGATCCGGGGCTGTCACCAGCTTAGCCCCATGCTCTGCTGTCTCACAAACGGGGCTCCTCCCCATCCCCCAGGCAGGACTTTTGCTCCCACTGTCATCCTATCTGGGATGCTGCCTCCTCTATCCTATCTGATCTTTACGGTTTAGCCCAACTGCCATCATCTCCATTAACCCGTCATCTGCCCAGTCTGAAGCGATGTCACCTCCTCAATTCTCTCGCTCTCTTAGCTGTCCCTCTTTCATGGTAGTGGCCACAACTGTCATTCCGTCGTGCTTACCGGGTGCATCTCTGGTGACCCCCGAGTGGCTGCGAGTGCCTTGAGGTCAGGGACAGCCCACCCCTGTTGGCACGTCACCATCTGTGGGGTCTTGGGCCCACTGGACAGTCAGTGAATGACCCTCCCCGCCCCCCAAAGTGGAGGTGTGGATGGAGGAGCAGGTGCAAGTTAACAATGGGGAGCTTACGCAGCCAGCCCCTACTGATCCACTTTCCTTTAAACGACTAGGCGGGGGCAAGCAAAAGGGCCCGCGAATGGAAAACAGAAAATTATCTGCAACACAGTGTTGACTCACCAGCGCTGATAAAATGGAATATTTCAGTCAGGAAGTCAATAAACGTCCGTACCAAGGAGGCTCCCAGGAGAAGCGTGCCTCCCATATGCACAGAGGCACGCGGCTCCAAGCGTGAGCCCGGGAAGGCTGCATGAACAGCCCGCTCCTTCTGTGTTTTTATCCAGTCTTACATTTTCGACCCAAGCCCAACACATCAGGCCTCGTCTTGGGGCAGAGTTGGAGTGAGCGAAGAACAGAAAAGGGAATGACGCTCAGAGCAGAGCTGCCGGTGACGACTCCCGCTTCCTCCCCTTGCCTGGCTGGGGCGCAGCTGTTTGACAGGTCAGCGGCCTGTCCAGGGACGGAAGAACCTGGAAACTGGGCACAGGGCAGGTCCTGCGGCACCCCCCGCTCAGGCCTTACTCTGCAATCCCATGTGTGGGACCTTTACTTGCAGTCACAAAGGATCTCTAGGACAGAGCAGCTGCACCCCGTCCCACCTCCCCCTGCAAATGGCAAAGACGACTTCAGAGAAGAGACATTCCCCTGATACCAGTCAAACACGAGGCCTGCCCTGTGCCCTGAACACTCACGTGCGGGGTCTTATCACAAACCCAAGGAAGAGCAAAGTACCTTCTGGCCGTGGTTTTGGCTTTTCCAATCCTCCGTCTTGCATGAGCTCGAAGGCAAAGGAGACATTCAAGACCTGGAAAGAGAAACATGGTGGCTGTGTCATTGTGCACTGATTCCTGGATCATTGGGACTCCCAGGACCTGACCCTGGAAAGCAAAGGATCCAGCACTATAGCCAGGGGGGCAGGGGCTGAGTAAAATTGAGGCCCTGATTTGAAGGAGAAATGAAGCTACCAAGATGGGCAGGCCATGTGGAGTGTGAGCTGGCCGGTCCCAGCTGGCTGTTGGTGAAACGTTCCTGGAGAAGTTCAAGATCTTCTTCCTGTCCTGCTGTGTTCCCAGGTCAACTGCCAGGACTTTAAGCTTAGGGACTCAGGGTGCACAGTTGAAAGGATCAGACGGAAAACATGTTCAAGAGGCAGAGAAGGGTTTCTGCTTTGGACCAAACATCCCTTGTCTAGCGGGCATGCCGTGGTACTCATGAGAGGCATCAGAACCCGGCTGAGTGTGAGCGTTAGGTCTGGCCGGCTCTGCCGCCACCCTCCCTGTCATGTCTGGGGGGAGAGGAGGCTTGGCTGTGCCCATGGCGGGAGCGTATGGCTAGGGGATCAGGCCGCAAAGGGAAGGAGAGCTGTTCAGAAGGCTCAGCGGTCCGCAGGTAGCTCCTTCCCAGCTCAGCTGTTCATCAGAAGGGGCCCCACATCCGACCATGGGAGACTCTGGGCAGATGGGAAGCCGCTGCCTTTTCCCCGCGAGGGCGGATGGATGGGGGGATGAGGGCTGGGGCCCTCCCTTGACGTTCCCTCCACTTACCTTCTGTTCAAAGCTGTCCGGGGTCAGGAAGAAGCTGTGCAGGGGCACGAAGTAGCCCTCCAGGAGCCCCATGAGCAGCACCAGGTACACCCCATCTGCAAACTGAAGGGAGAGGGCCAGGTGAAGGCACTGGACCCGAGCCCCCCCCCCCCCCCCCCCCCCCCCCCCCCCCCCCCGAAGGCAAGCCCTATCCAGGGGGCTCGTCAGCTGTCATGGCAGCGCCCTGAAGGCTCCATCCCCAGGCAGGCTGCTGGCAGAGGGTCAATGGCAGCGGCCTGAGGCAGGAAGGCCTGTGTGCAGCAGGCCCGGCCCATGTCTGGCCGGTCAAGTCCGGGAGCCACGGCCCACGGTCCGGCTCTCGGCTGATCCAGCATGTATTGAACACTGAGCGTGTGCCCAGCCCTGATCTGGCCCGGGGACCACAGAGAGAGGTCAGTGTGGCCCTGCCCGTGAGGGGCTCACAGTCTAGTGTGGAGGAAGGCAGTAGCTGCTCTGATGGAGGCAGGCACACTGGCCCGTGTGAGATTGACTGAGGTCGGCCACTCCCCCTGAAGACCATGGGGAAGGCTTCTGGAGGTGGCATAGCCTGAAAAGAGACCTGAGGGATGAGTAGGAGCTAGCTGGGGTGGGGGCGGGGGGGGAGGAGGGGCACAAGGAGGAGGGAAATGGGGTTGAAAGCCCACGGCAGGGTGACTTCGGCTCTGTGAACAGAGAAAGAACTCTAGTGTTCCGCAGGCCTGGGCTTTCTCCTTTGTCACCTCTTGTATTATTGTTTGAGAGGCAGCAGGGCGTAGCTGTTACGTATATGGCTCTGGCCCTAGGCCTCCAGCTGTCCTGCTTATTAGCTGTGTGACTTGAGAAAGTTAGGTCACTTGTCTGTGCCTCATTTTTCTCATCTGTGACGTGGGGAGAATGAGAGTACAGTACCTGCTCTAGAGGTTCATCATGAGGATAAAGCAGTTAATATGTGCAAGGTGCCCAGAACACGGTTTGGCATGTAGGCGACACTAAATATTAACTATCACTATTACTATCTGGGACGACAGCAAAGCAGTCAGGATACAACTTCCTGGCTCCTGTTGACGAAGCACAGCTGTGTGCTGAGGGCCACAGCGAGAGGCATAGAGCCTGGTCCCTTCCATCAGGGACAGTTGGGAACCTGGTCTGAGGGACAGTAGGCTCCTGAGCGAAGTGGGAGGTGCGGGTCTTCTGCTGCAGGAGGGCAAGGAGAATGTGCAGTGGGCAGTCAGCGCAGGTTTCGCGGAGGCGGTGAGGGGCCTGTGAGATGAGGGGCATTTGGGAGGAGTAGGCGTGCCAGGGGCCAAGGATGGTCTGAGCAAAGATCTAGACGTCAGGGGCACCTGGGTGGCTCAGTTGGTTAAGCATCTGACTTCGGCTCAGGTCATGATGTCCTGGCTTGTGGATTCAGGCCCTGCATCGGGCTCTCTGCTGTCAGCACAGACCCTGCTTCCAATCCTCTGTCTAGCCTCCCCCCTCTGCCCCTCCCCCGCTTTCTCTCTCTCAAAAATAAATAAAAACATTAAAAAATTAAATACAAAAAAGATCTAGAGGTCAGATGGATACCTAAAATTAGAGAACCCTTCAAAGGAGGTGGGGCCCCCAAGTCTTTGTGGGCATAAACCCCAGTTGTTAAAGAGGTTTTAAGAGCTCAAAGTTCTTGGAATCCTCTCAGGGAACTTAAAACAAAACTAGACAGAATTGCCCGGAATGTGAGCTGGACCGTGTCTGCTGGGTGACCAGCTGGTGGGCTTGGGGCTCGGGCTTCATGATGGGTGTCCCGCCCGGCCTTGAACTTGACCTTAGGAACAAGATTCTTCCCTGCTTCCAGCCAGCTGGCCTTCAATTCCAGTGGGGAGGGCCTAACCCTGACTCATCCTCAGGCCATGCCAGGGTGAACAGGAGAACAGACCCCAGCGTCTGTGTCAGAATCAAGGCCCTCCCGTGGACCTAGCTGGGCCTCTTTTTGGCAGTGGCTGGAACTGACTGAGAGTAAAAAGAATCCAATATGTCTACCCAGGGGAGGACCCTGGGTTAGGGTCAGGTCTGCTCACAACTCTGAGTGCCGCTGACTTAGACTGTCCCCACCCCTGACTGCTGGTTCTGACGACTTGGTGGTTGAACCTGCAGACAGGCACCAAATGTGCCTGGCAGAGGCTGCCTCTCAACCCTCCTTGCCCGTGAAAACTGAAGTGGGAATTCCAGAACTCATTCTAGCTCTTCCGAGGACACATCGCTTTTCTAGAGGGTTCCCTGTCTTCCCAAAGAGTATAGAGTACGGACAAGACACACTCAGGTAAAGCTCAGTGGCAGACCCGGAAATCATCTTTGAATGTAACAGGAGGTGCCCACATATCCTCAAAAGAAAACCATACTTTAGAAGTTCATCACAGATGAAAGGGGGTTGGGAAACAGGGTACATTGCACGGTCTTTAAAAAAAATTTCTTAATGTTTATTTTTGAAGGAGAGAGAGAGACAGGACATGAATGGGGGAGGGGCAGAGAGAAAGGGAGACACAGAATCCGAAGCGGGCTCCAGGCTCTGAGCTGTCAGCACAGAGCCCGACATGGGGCTCGAACTCATGAACTGTGAGATGGTGACCTGAGGTGAAGTCAGATGCTTAACTGACTGAGCCACCCAGGTGCCCCGAATTGCACAGTCTTTAAGTACCTCCTGATAAAGATTAATTATAAAGGCAGGGAAAGCTTTACAGTAGAGAAATCTTGGTTAGTGGACACTAACCAAGTGAGCAAAGTTACTGTCACCAGGAACGGGACTAAGGGACAAAGTGCCTGAGAAGAGCACAGTGTTACAGGGGTGGAATTGTCACTGAAAATGCATAGCCTGAATCTAATCATGAGGGGGAAAAAATTGAGGTCCTATGAATCTAATGGCCTGCACTCTTCAAAAATGTCAATGTCCTACAAAAAAGGGCCGAGGATTTGTTCTATATTAAAAAGAGGCTAGGGGTGCCCGGGTGGCTCAGTTGTTAAGCGTCTGATTTTGGCTCAGGTCATGATCTTGTGGTTTGTGAGTTCCAGCCCCGAATTAGGCTCTGTACTGACAGCTCAGAGCCTGGAGCCTGCTTTTGGATTCTGTGTCTCCCTCTCTGGCCCTCCCTTGCTCATGTTCTGTCTGTCTCTCTCTCTCAAAAATAAATAAACATTAAAAAAAAATGTAAAAAAAGAGACTATTGAGACATGGCCATTAAAAGCAGCCTGAGAATATTAAGACAACTGTTTCTTTGATCCCTATGACACTGTCCTAAGTAGCCAAATATCAATGACTTCATGTGGTTCAACCTAAATAGACTAATGTATTGATGTGAAAATTGCTTGAATCTGATAATTGTAATGTGATTATTTAGGAGAGTACTTGTTCTTAGAGATGTACGCTGAAGTATTTAGGAGAGAGAGAAACAAATGAATGTGGTCAACTGCCAAAAACTGGTGTAGGTAGGTGAAACGTGTACGAATATTCATGATGATATTCTTGCAACTTTTCAAAATAAAACACTGGAAAAAATCAGCATTCAACGCAGTTCACCCCTGTGAGCAGGACAGAATCTCACTCCCTCCTGGGAAAGCTTCAGGATCAGCATGGAAAGCCACCCTGGCAATGCAGGCATGGGGCACTTGGAAGAGTGGCTGTTGAACAGGGCCTTGCCCCCCACCCTGCACTCAGGGCTGTCACCCACCTGGGTTTCCAGTTCTGTGACCTCCAGGTTCAGTTTATTCAGGTGCTTGTTCACAAAAGTGATGAGTGTCTAAAAGAGAAGCACAAGCCAGGCATTGAGATGGAGACTCTCACCAGTGCCAGACCTGGTGGCCACCTGTGTGACCCTATTGTGAGGACGAGGACCAGTGTAATAACCTAGGACAAGGCCCAGCCAAGGGTGCTGCGCCAGGGATCACTGCTCAGCTGGGTGAGAATAAGCAGCCTATGAGGCTTTTCTGCAAAGCTCCTTGAGTTCGCAGCAAAGGACGGCCCCCAGGATTTGTGGTCTCCTGCACTGTGGGATTCAAATAGCCAGTCTCAGGAATGTGAAAGGGGCAGGGGGTCCCAAGAGGGCAGAATGATAGGTGCAATGTTCCAGCTCAGAGTTGGGGGGGGATGCCAGAGAAGAAGTGACCTCACCGGGTCCCTCCTTCAGACCGTCCTAGGGGCAGGTGCCCTGTGCCTGGGGAGGAGGGAGGGCTGAGTGAGGAGGCCCAGTTGGTTGGGGGTTCAGTGTGGATGGGAAGACAGGGTGCTTGTAGCTTCAGAACCCCCAGGAGACACTGTCATCCTGATGGGAGAAGGGAGTGGGTAAGGTATCCAGTGGGAACAGGATGGGTAAAGTGTACATCAGGTGGGAAAAGCCCCGAGTTTGCCGAGAGCTGGCGAGGACACCAATTTGAAGAAGCTTGCAAGCTGCATGCGTGTGTTCTACTGTTTGGTGCAGCTCGCCCCCCTCCCTCCCAGGCACCTCTTGCTCACCTTTTTCACTACATTGAGCTTGTCTGGTGCATGGTCAAACAAGGTGTCAAAGGCATCACGTTCTGGAAACACAGGAAAATGTCAAATGCAGCAAAGACCTGCCTCCTGGTGGGGAAGCCCACCCCAGGGCTCGGCCAAGATGGCCACCAGGTCAGATATAGGCAGGAATTCTTTGGTGCGTGAAACCGTGCTGGGAACTCTGGAAACTAGGTTTGGGTAGGTTTTGGGGATTGATTCTTAGCGTAGGGGCTTTCTCTGTTTCTCTGTGTCTATTCTCTAGGTCACGCCTCTTTTAGGCTGGGAGTGGGGGGCTCTGTTAGGCTGTGGAATCCCAGATTGACTTGGGATTTCTCTTCACTATTTATATCCATTACATCATGACTTAGTTATGGGCCTAAAGGGTTTCTGAAGCTTTTTGGAGGTAGAATGTTATCCAAATCTCAAATCACCTCACCCACTAATTTTCAAATCCAGGATACCCATGACAAACATCCGTGCACGGATAACCGGATTGGGAGACTGGGAGCCCCGGGATAGAATGTGTGGTCTTCCTTTTGAGTGATCTAGTCACTTTGACCCTTGTGTGCCTCAGTTTCCTCTTCTATAAAATGCCGTCTGAAAAACCTTTCCCAGGTGTGTGGTGAGGACGAAAGAGAAGAAGGCATGTGCATGCGTTCTGTAAACTCTGAAGTGTGTGCTGATCTGAGTTTGTTAGCAGGACTGGGATATTTCTCACATTATCCATAGTATATACAGGATCATTGAAAATGGCAAAGCCATGCCCCTTGCCGGGGTTTTTCTTGCTATAGCCCCCAGATTCTCTAAACTGAGACGTAAAATAGAGGATAGGATCTGAGGCAGGGGATGAGAAGAATGTCCAGGAGGGACCCAGGGCTGGGAAGTTTGGTGGTCCCGGGGTCTGCCTTTTCCTGCTCTTGCACTGATGAATAAATCTGGGACCGCCAGAAGGGTGACTGAGGTCTCTAACGTTCAGACGGTATAAACAAACCCAAAGTTCTGGGAAACTGGAGCGGGATGATGTGTGATGAGGAAAGAGGGAGAAGATTGCTTCTAGAAGGGCTGGACTGAGCGGGGACAGTGGACTTTCCCAAGCGTGTACATATACCTCTTTACTTCCACAACAAACTTGGAGCATGACCGCCCTGCAAATGCCCAGGACCCATCCAGGGCCTGGCAACGTCAGTGCTCTGGCTACTTACAAGAGGACTGGGCAGCCGTGGTTAGATTTCCCCTTCCCACCGGTAAGCCGACCCTCCCTACCAAGTGGCCCTGTCACCGGGCTGGTGCAGACACACACGCAGGAAGTAAGCTGAGTGCCTGTTCTTCCCAGCTGCTGCAGAATTAACTAGAAACCCCGTGGCAGCCACCAGCACCAGAGGATAATCTTATGCAACTCACCGTGCCTTCCGGAAAGAGCCCTGCAGGAAAAGGAGAAAGGAAACAGCATGATTCTTCTTCTTTGCCCTTCACTGAAGAGCCCACAAAGCTTCCTTCCTTGGCACTTTCTTCTGCACTAAGTCTCCAATTATTGGTAGTCTTTACCCTACTGCCACCTGTTTTTCCCTCTGCCATACAGATAGACTGGCGTTTGCACAAAGCCTGGTGTAAGTGATACTTAAAGGACTATTTCTTGCCTTAAGTAAAATCACACTGTTGCTTATAGTTGAGAAGGAATATCGGACTCGGGGCTTCAACACTCCCAACCACTGCACTGCATCAGCTTGGGGATGTCAGCTTTGTCTTTCTCTAGTTCATCCTGTGATTCCCACCAAATCGCACCTGCCATTGACTCAGAATCAGTTTCTCAAATAGGGCAGGAAATAGAACCATACTCTTACCAACGAAGCCTCAAAGTACTAACGGCACAAGCATTAAAACAGACTACTTAGGTCTGAATCCCAGAGACGCTGTGTGACCTTGGGCAAGCTACGGAGCCTCTCTGGGCTCCCGGTCTCTTCTCTCTAAAAGGAGGATGATAATGGTAAATACTCCAGTAGGATGTTCGGAGCATTCAATGACTTAATATGGAGCAAGACTTTAGCATAATTCCTAGTATATAGTAAGTGCTCAGTTCGTTTTTTTCAGAATACGTTTTTGGTTCCTATTGTATCGGTTTATTCCAACTGTGCATCTATCACCTACTAGATGATGACCTGTGGGTAATGTACTGGAAGGGATAATGAACTTGGGAGTTAGGTGTTGGATAGACCAAGGACAGTTGCTTCTTCACCTTTGGGATATGTGGTTTTAGGAGGGGTGAGCGTTGCTTTGTGTATTTTGAATATCAATAGATACGAAAGTGCTTCATAAAGTGTTCTGTGTTGCTGTTATTAGGAGTTCACATCCACCCTCATGTCTGTGTGGCAAGATGGCAGAGGGTGACCACAGGAGGCCTGGCGTGCAGCCGACAGAGCACTGCAAACCCAAACGTCACGTCCCCTGACTCCTCTCAGGTATGTCTTTCTCTTTTCCAGAAGGTGAAACAGCGGGCGTGGACAAGCCCAGCAGAGGGTGGGGGGTGAGGGGCAGGGAGGCGTCCCTCCTGCCCCTCACAGAGGCGAGGCCGGGAATCAGCGTGCTTTGTGTGTCAGCAGCCCTACTGGCCGCCAAGACTGGCCCTGGAGTGATGCGGAGGCTGTCCAATAGGCTCTCCACAGGCCATAAACTGGGCCCCTTGGGAAGCGCCACTCCACGTCTCTGCCCTACCCTGGGCTCTTTTTAAGGCACAAACACACTGTGGTCCAGGCCGATGGCACCCTGGACTTCCCTCAGCCACCACCGGGGAGGCAAGTTGCCTAGAGACTGGGCAATGCTTGGAGGGTGCGGGTCAGCCGTGGTGGGGGAGAGCCACGACAGGCAGCGCTGATGGTCACGGGGGCCCAGCCCTTGCCACAGTGAATCGTCACAACCTCTCTGGTTAGGAAAACACTCCCCACTTCAGAGATACAGAAACCAAGGTCTGAGCGGGCGGGAGAGTCTGGATTTGAACTCAGGTCAGGCCGGCTTAAAGGTCCCTCCCTGCCCTTTCCACCTCGTTCCTGTTCAAGAGAACATAGAGGAAAGCTGGGGTCTCATGAAAACACACTTTGCCCGTGGCCCGGGCTCAGGCCTGCCCAGTGATCTCAAGACCCCCGCCTTTTTTCTACCTAAGAACAAACTTCTCTGTCCCATGGCAAACCTCCTGCATTCTGATATGCCAACTACTTAACGGGGAAACGAAAAAACACCAAGCACCAACCCACCACTCTAAGGTAGAAAAGGGTTTTCTGGGTCATGGCACGTGACCAAATAAATCAGATTCAGAAAAGGAAGAAAACGTCCTTTTGGAGGCTCGCAATTTAAATTCAACCCCATGTTTATGGCATGACGATTTCATGCTGGTTGGCTTTTTGGGGCATACTTTTTCCTGGAGTGCCACAAAATTAGAATTTTTCAATCACTGCTAATTCCCTCTCCCCACTTCCCCACCCAAGTTTGTACCTTAAGCATTGAGAGGCATGTTTTGAATGCATGGAAAAGGCTAAACTATAATCATTGGCTGAAGTCTAATCCCTCTTGCAATCCCAATAAATGAAAACTAAATATCAGCAAATGGATGAATTTCGGAGAAACATCTGTGTTCCATTACAGAATGGCTGGCAACAATGGTGTTGACATACTCTGTGTTACCAGTTATTTCCTCTTGGATTTGCCGAGACTGGAGGATTCCTTCTCGTTTCTGAAACAGGGGTGGGGAGAAGGGTTGGGAGGCAGAGAGAAAAATATGCTTTAGAAAAATACAAAAAAAAAAAAAAAAAAAAAAAAAAAAAAAACAAAAAACACAAAACACCCACCCAAAACTGATTAGCGTTCCTGATATTGAGAAAGTTACTGCTGTTCAAGAAATGAAACCGGAGAGGAGATACTACCAGAGGCAAAAGGAGGCCCCAGATTTCTGGGACTGGACCATACCATTCATACTTAAGAGCAATTAGTGTTTATTCCAAACAAGTTGGCTGTTTCTTGGATGGTGAATCTTTTCTTTCTTTATTGGAAGACATTTTGCTGGAAGCAAACTGTTTGCCTCCCGGAGTAATCCACAGTAAACCAAATGGAAATGAAGGCCTAGGGCGTGTCTGCCCTCCAGCTGGGGCCACGGAGGGAAGCAGAGAAACACATTTAACAGTGGGGCTGGCTGGGGTGGAGGACGGAGGCCAACTTGGAAAATTTAAATAGGGGGAGAGTTTTTGTTTTTCTTTTTAATGGATAAATAGGGAAGCTTTTCACTAAGCAGTACAGTCCTCAGGTGACTAGCTTATTCTCTGAGAAAAGGATAAGCACTTTGGAGGCTCCCACACCTACCCATCTGCCCATCCGCCCACTCATCCATCTGTCCATCTGTCCATCCATCATCTGTCTGCCTCCTCCCATCAATCTAGCCTCTTTCTTCTTTATTTCATGAATTGGTGTTTTCTCTGTACAAGAACCTCTGTTGGATAAGAGCGAATACTATGGATTCCATACTATAGATACTATGGATACTATACTATAATTTCTGACCTTGAGGAACTTAGAGAACAATGGGGTAGATGAAACAGGTATGTGAGAAAGATTTCCAAGAAACAGTACTGGTGTTTGTGCCTGATGGGGTGGCTCAACGGCTCAATGATTACAGTAGGACCCCCCCTTTCACTCTCAGAAGTGTCGTGTGTAACCAATTATGCAGTGGTCCCATGCAGACAGAAGTGCTGACGAGAGCAGGCACGTTCAGCTGGGATGGTCGGGGAACCCTTCCAAGGGGCGGGGGTCCTCAAGCTGGAACTTGACAGGATGCAGAGGAGAGGGCATTCCAGCAGAAGGGATGGCCCCAGCAAAAAGGCAGAGGCAGGAGAGCACCACTGGAGGCCGTTTGGAACCACTAATGGTGGCTGCCATTAGTGGGACGATGGCTGCCATTAGTTGATGGGGAGTCAACTGAGTGCCAGTTTGAAATTTAAACGCCATTGGGTGGGCATGAGAGCCAGTGAAAGAGTGTCAGGGCTCAGGAAGACCTTTTTTTTTTTTTTTTT